TGTTTAAATGTTTTATTAGTACTACCATTATTAGTCCTAATTTTGTGTCTTGGAAGTAGGAAAGTAGGATGTGCAGGAAGATGTATGTTAGAAATAAAAGTTTATTTCTTTTTTTTTTTTTTTGAGACAGAGTCTCACTTTGTTGTCCAGGCTAGAGTGAGTGCCGTGGCGTCAGCCTAGCTCACAGCAACCCTCAAACTCCTGGGCTCGAGCGATCCTTCTGCCTCACCTCCCGAGTAGCTGGGACTACAGGCATCGCGCCACCATGCCCGGCTAATTTTTTTTATATATATATCAGTTGCCAATTAAATTTCCTTTCTATTTATAGTAGAGACGGGGGTCTCGCTCTTGCTCAGGCTGGTTTTTTGAACTCCTGACCTTGGATCAATACGCGCCCGCCTCGGGCCTCCCAAGAGCTAGGATTACAGGCGTGAGCCACCGCGCCCGCTTAAAAGTTATTTTTAAGCCTTGGGCTCTAGGCAAAACTTTGATGCAGCGCAAATTCTCCTATGGTTTTTTTCAACCACGCAGCTTCTTCATCTCTCTTCCTTTCTAGTATTTGACCACGTTGACTGCCCACACATGGAAAAAAAAAAAAATTCTCTTAGGGATTTTATTATGAAAATAGAATAAAAACTCTAAAACAAAAGACTCCTTTCAATTTAATGAAAAATTTGTTATATCATCAATAAAAAAGTAATGTAAAAACTTGAAATCAACAATGTAAAAGAATGTGAAAACTTTGAAAAATAGTTCATTAAGGGTAAAAACGTTTTCTCGACTTATCAGTCTCAAGTGTAATTTAAAGGTAAACAGAAATACAAAAATGAAATTTATTGACTTCCATTTAATCCATTTTTTAGAATTAAGTTGTCAGTAGGTAAAGAGACAATGAAGTTGTCAGTAGGTAAAGAGTTATGTAGGCGTTCATGAGGCCCTGGGCTCACACATTAGACTAAGTTAAAAAAACTCACATGGCAGTCAATGTGTTAAGGTACACACACCCATATGCTGCCTTGGCCTGGCAAGAGTGATCACATTCAAAATTCTCTTCCTTCAGGATCAATCTTTGTCTCTGAGTAGGTGAAGGTTTGATTTAACCTAATTCATCTTCACACTGAGGTGAATGATGCCCATTCTACTAACTTTCTTTGATGTATTGTACT